GACTAACATAGTATTTTTTAGCCATTTTTCCTTGGAACATGAACAACTTGACATTTGTATCCAAAAATATCACCATTAAATGTTGTTTTTTTAATCAAACCTTTATTATTGTCAGGATTATATGTGTATCCCTATTTACATAAGATAATTATTTAATAAAAACTAACTTTTTTGTAAAAATGTTATGATTTGTGTGTGTCCCTCATTTTGATTTACCACCCGTCACATTAACATGTTTTGTCTATAAACAATGTACTGTTGCTTTTAACTGACATCACAGAGAGCCTGGAGAAAGTACCGGCCCTGTGGAAGACCTCCTGTGTGGTCCCGGTACCTAAAACCCAGCGCCCCAAGGAGCCTAACCATTTCAGGCCTGTTGTCTTGACCTCTCACCTGATGAAGACTTTGGAGAGGATCATCCTGAGTCACGTGAGACCACTGGTGAGCACACAGCTGGACCCCCTGCAGTTTGCTTACCGGCCTTGTGTTGGGGTGGACAATGCAGTGATCTACCTACTGCATAGATCACTGCTACACCTGGAGGACAGTGGGAGCACTGTGAGGGTCATGTTTTTTGACTTTTCTAGTGCTTTCAACACAATCCTGCCGTCACTGCTCAGAGTGAAGTTGGAAAGTGTGGGAGTGGACCATTATCTGGCTGCATGGATGATAGACTACCTCACCAACAGACCACAGTACGTGAGGCTTCGTCACAGTGTGTCTGATGTAGTGCTCTGCAGTACAGGTGCCCCCCAGGGTACGGTGCTCTCCCCTTTTCTCTTCACCCTGTACACCTCGGACTTCACACACAACACCTTCAGTTCTCTGACGACACAGCCATTGTTGGGTGTGTTTCGGAGGGAAATGAACTGGAATACAGGACAGTCATCAGAGACTTTGTCAGCTGGTGCAAGATCAACCAGCTTCAGCTTAATGCCAGCAAAACAAAGGAGATGATTGTGAACCCCAGGCGGAAGACATCCCACTTCACACCAGTGAACATCCAGGGACTGGACATCGAGGTGGTGAACTACAAGTTCCTGGGGGTTCACCTCAACAACAAACTGGACTGGTCCACCAACACCCACGCTCTCTACAAGAAGGGTCAGAGTCGCCTTCACCTGCTGAGGAGACTGAGGTCCTTTGGCGTGTGTGGGGCTCTCCTCAGGACCTTCTACGACTCTGTGGTGGCCTCAGCCATCTACTTCGCTGTGGTCTGCTGGAGAGGGGGCAGCACTGACAGGGATAGGCAGAGGCTCAACAAACTGATCCGGAAAGCGAGCTCTGTTCTGGGCTGCCCCCTAGACTCCATTGAGGAAGTAGGTGACAGGAGGATGTTAGCTAAGCTGACATCCATCATGAACAATAACTCTCACCCTCTGCATGACACTGTATGGTCTCTGAGTAGCTTCTTCAGCAGCAGACTTTTACATCCTCGCTGTAAGAAGGAGAGGTTCCGCAGGTCCTTCATTCCAACAGCTGTCAGACTCCACAACTCCTGCTCTTCCTGACCATGTGCAAACTTGCACTTTTTCATGTACATAGCGTGTGTATTATGTAAATTGTATTTATTAGTGTATATTTGGTATATTTTTGTTGTATATTTCCATAGATGTTTATTCTATAGATGTTTATTTTTCTGCTGTGGTAAATGAATTTCCCAATTGTGGGATAAATAAAGTTAATCTAATCTAATCTAATCTAATTTGAGGCTTTGGAGCAGCCAGGAACTAAAGCAGGCAAGTTCTGACCGGCACATAACAAATGTCTAAACAGCTGGTCTGTCTTCTCATCAGAGGAAGCTGAACTGAAGTAGTTTTCTGGCATCATCATCACCATCATCATCACAGCCCATTTGAGAACTAATAATGTCCGTGCAGTCTCCTTTGTCTATACATGAGGTCCTCCTTCTGTTGGCACCAGTCATTCAGTTTCCAGTGTGGATTCCTTTAAATGACAGTAAAAGACAAACACTTTGGTTCAGACATGGTGGATCACAGTTAATCACACACATATACCAGCTGTCAGGACAGGTGCATGAATACCTGCTTCAGTTGAGGACTTCTGTGTATGAATTCACAGTATTAAATGACAAACCCCCACAAGATAATGTTCTAGTATACATTGTGTATTGAACTCAATACAACAAGATACCAGCAAGAAGAGGAGACAGAAAATAAGTTAATGAGATAAAACTGAATGTTTTGCTGCATGTAGGAAAATTCTATCAGCCACATGAGAGTGAGTTAATTGTTCAACTATATTTATCTTTGTCCTGCAAATGTTTGCATGTTTGGGACAAGGTACGGTTACCATAGCAAACACTAAGTAATCAGCTAGCTAGCTAGCTAGCTAGCTAGGTTAGCAAAGTGCATTTGTAATTCACATTAACTCTAATATTAATTTGGATGTTAACTGTCTCCTGTTCTCCGGTCAAAACACGTAGGGAAAAAAACGCTCCAGCTTTTAGGAGCATCATACACGTTAAAACTGTTGGACGTTAAAGAAAATAAACATTTACTTACCGAAAGAAACGGTATATCAGCGTCTCTCCAGTCTGTTAGTGCCGAAGAATGAGCCATAATTATTGTGAACCGAAAACTCATTAAAACTAAAGAACTAACAGTAAAACTGTCAGTGCAAAATTCCTCCTCCGCCGACAAATATTAAGAAAAATAACAGAAATTTAACACAACTGATTCAATACGATGCAATCACGACCCAAGCTCCCCTCCGGTGATCGACCTCCCGGCCTGCCGCGTCATCCGATCAATCATTGCAGACCAGGTATATCAATCAAACAGACACGCCCCCAAAAATACCTGTTTTTAAGGCTTAATATCTAATTAATTACATGATTATTTTCAGATGGACCACCAGAACACGAGGTGTGGATTTAGCCCATCACACCATATCGACTGAGTATTTCATGAGAGAAGTTGGTGTTTTTTGAATGAGTGTGTATTGGAACCTGTGGTTAAACCTCTGTGATCCAGCAGAATGAAGGAAACCACCTGATCCAAGGCCAGACATAATTTCTGGTGCATTTGATATGACAATAACTTAAATGTAATAAACATAATATCATTTTAACTCATCTTAAACATTTAACTATGATATGTGTGGAAATGCAATTACACAAAATACAAACTGCTTTTTACAGAAATTGATTGAGTGATTTGAGCCTAAATGTATGGGGTGGAGTAATGTGCATGACTTACCATTTCTTGCTGGGCAAGGTGTGGTTCTGGCCCGAGGTGGATTCTGCCATAGCTATAAAAACACAAAAGGAAAAATAAGGACATAAGCAGCTCCTCTTGACTATGAAATGTTTTTGAATCATTCTAAGGACTTCACAAGATAAAAGATTTATCAATCATCCATTTAAACTTTATTTACCATATCATGTAATAAAACAAGACTTTATGACTAAATCTGAACAAATGATACATGTACATGTGAAGAAGACACACACACACAAAAACACTGAAAGAGGAAGAGCTTCTGTCTATGTACACATGCAAAGCACAAAACTGTAAAATGTGGTGCTCAAAATTCCTGTGTGACACTGAACATAAATATACATCGATACATATATTAAAGAAAAAATTAATGAAACAATGAAAACAATCCTACAAAACTATGTACAAATGTGTTTTAGAATGACAAAACTCCTGCTGGGCAAGATGTGCAAAAGATCACAATATAGATAATATCATTTGCAGGGATAATACCTCAAGGTGTTGATGTAAAGGGGTTGATTGATGAGGCCACATGCAGAAGAAAAGGCTGGTGCTGACCCATCATTGGTGATTAGACTGGACTTCTGGTCCTGATACAGACAAACATGCGATAGGACAATTCCTTTAGATCATACGAGTTCTTTATAATCAAATATGTTAGATCTGTTGTGTGTGTATATTCAATTGTGAAGATACACATGAATATGCAAAAATACAGTATGAATATTATGAAATTTAAATGCAAGGAAATTAAGAGTAAACAACTAGAGGCATGATAACACTATATAACCAACAAATGCAGCACGTTTCGTTTCGTTCAATATGAACTAATCTTTTATCTTGTACATTATTCTGTGGTTTCACAGACTAAAAACTGAAAGGGTAGCATACAGGTTCTTCCCGTTAGTCTCATCCCACCCCTAGTCATGACGTAACTTCTGTTGTGATTTGACACTATAATGAATAAAGATTGATTGATTTATTGCTATAGCTGTCAATTTTAGTCCTCGAGTTCATAGTTAAATGCTTTATTTGTTAACTGCTATCAAGGAATATGACTCTCCTTTGTAGTATGCATGAAAGAAGATGCCGCGAAATTAGTGGACTTCTATGTAGTGTCCGCTGATAATGTCTGGGCTGGTCTGGACAGAAAATGCCAGGGCTGAATTTTTGTCCCAGTCCACCCCTGGATATAGAGTATAATAGCACCGGGACTTGTCTCTCTTAGATTGTAACAAACTTTGCAAAGATGAATATATTTACTGAAATAACATTTGTGTTAAATTATGTATGGTCGTCAGAAGAGGATGAAGGAAAGACGCCTGGATACATCAGCGCACTCCTGAGGTAACGTGTAGACAAAGGATCAAGGGTCCGTGCATGAAATATAATTCTTCTGCAGTTGTTCAAGTTGTATAATGAAAAATGCAGTTTAGAGGGTATTGTTTAATTTTGTTGTCCTTCTTGTGCTAAGTGCAAATGTATGTTGACGTTTGTGAGCTCTTTCTCCATTAGTCGCTGTTAACGCCTTGCGTGTGTTATTGTCCCATTAAATGAAGACGTGCAATTCAATTCAGCGTCAGTTTGTTCCATTATCCAACTTTACGCCCATACGGTCTATGGCCCTGACGAACCGGCCTGTAGGAGTGAACTTCCTCCAGGAGGTGGCAGTAACACAACACCGAGGCTGCCAGCTGCCGTTAAAACCTCAAAGAAGAAGAGGAGGGGCAGAAGAAGAAATAGGAGGAAACAGAAGAAGTTGTAGTCGTGTTGTGAATCATGCCCCCACCTAGTTGATTAATAATTGTCTTGCCTGACGTTGAGCACCTCACCGAACAGGAAACGTGGGAGCTGAAAGACGAGCAGAGCAGGAGCAGCACCTGACGCGGCAGCTTTAACCTAACTAGGTAGAGTAAATACTCTTTATTTCTTGTATTTATGTCGCTAACAAGACCCCACAGTTAGCCATGAAACGTAACGATAAGAAGATGAAAGCTAACAGTTAGCCACAGGTACCGCGACATAATCCCAATCTCTGGTATTTAGGAAGTTATATAAACTCAGCGTTAGTCCTTCAGAAATTAAACGTCGACATTAAAAATGCGAAATCACTTCAAACAGACGGATTAAACCAGAACAACCTGAAATGTTAATGTTACCTTGTCACAGGGCATTTTTCTGCACGAAGCTCAACAGCAACTCACAGCTGTCACTTACTTTAAGTAACGTACCAAACACCACAGTGTAGAAATACGCATACAAGTAGAATTGCAACAATTAGTAGTAGGCTATTACAAGTTGATTTATTGATTAGTCGATAGAACCGACAGTGATCAGTAACTATTTTGATAATTGAATAATCATTTTGATTATTTTTTTTCGAAGGAAATGTGGTTCTTCAGTCTTTTATGATAGGAAACTTTATATATTTTGGTTTTGAACATGTTTATCGAACCAAACAAGTAATTTGGAGACATGGCGTTGATTTTTGGGAGATTAGGATGGACATTTTTGACATTTTTCTGACATTTTACTGACCAAATAACTAATCAATCAGTCGAGAAAATAATCCAACACCAGTTAGTCTCCATTCAATATTTTACTTGCATAAAAGTAAAAAAGTATTAACATCAGAATCAGAATACATTTAAAAATACATAATCTAGCAAAGTAATATACATTAGTCTGAAATAATCTGCATAATGAGTACTTTTTTATGTTTATTAATGCATTAATTCAGTGGGCTATTTTTATTTTTACTTTATATTTTGTGTTTATCTGAATCTGCAAAGTAATTGGTAACGGAAGCTATCAAAGGAATCTAGTGGAATAAAAAAGTATGATATTTACCTCTGAAATGTAGAGGAGAAGAAGTATACAGCAGCAGAAAATGGAAATACTAATACTAATACAAAGTAAAGTACAAGCACATCAAAATTGTACATAAGAACGTGAGTAAATGTACTTAGTTACTTTCCTTCGCTGATATTGAATGACATTTAGTAACACATGACACAGTAGTTATGAGATAAAATAAGAAGGCCAGCCCACAATATTTGTGCAATGTTTATATAAAAGACGAACAGATTTACATTTTATGAATGACTTTTCTGAGCTGGTTAACTCGCGATGAAATAAGTTACAGGAGAATAGAGTTGAACAATACATGTGCCAGACACTATTAATGGCTTAATATTACCTAAAGATCTAAAGAAGCACAGAACCACAATGCTGTATACAAAGTAATGTATTAATCTGGCAGACTACAAAAAGCAGTATTTACGTTAAAGCTAAGACAATAAGTCGATTTATCAATAAGTCGACGGACAGAATTTGACTCTGCAACAATTTCAATGATAGATTAATCATTTCAGTTATTTCACATTTTAAGCAAAAAAATCACTAGTTACAGATTCTGAAATGTGAATATTTAAAGGTCTTCTATGATAGCAAACTGGATATCTGGGTTTTGGACTGAGGCTCAGATAAAACAAACCATCTGAACATGTCACTTAAGGCTCTGGGATCAGGTGATCTGAGGTGATTAATCGATAATTTGATTGACAATGAATCTGACAATTTATTAAATATTAAAGCTATTCTTTAAGCAAAAAATGCAGAAAAAATTTTGACTACTGTGAGAATTTACTGTTTTTCTCTGTTTAATATGATTGTAAATTGAATATTTTTGGGTTTTAGACTGTTGGTCTGTTGGTCAAACAAAACAAACAATTAAAAGGTGTCAGCCTGGGCTTTGATGGGGATTTTTCACAATTTTATGATACTTTTAATTCCAGTTCATTGATTATTTGTGAAAGTAGTTGATAGTTGCAGTGGATACATTTTCAGTGCACAGAAATCTGTCTCCAGCCAAATAAAACATAAAGTCTGATTCAGTTTTGAGTCATGTAGTGTTTTTCCACAAATAGGAAAAAGGCATCAACTAACAAGCATTTTTGACAATTTTTTGATATTTTATAGACTGAAAGATTAGTCAAGAAAACAATCAGTGGAATAATTGAAGAAAATAATCCTTCGTGGCAGTTAGTTATGTTTTCAAGTTCAAGTCATTTTGTTTGATGATACTCCAAAGTCCAACTTATAAGCAAATAAAACATAGAAGTGCGGCAAGACTTCACAATGAGAAGCTGAAACTAGGTAGTGTTTGGCCTTTTTGCTTGAAAGATTACTTAAAAGATTAAGTGATTGTCAAAAATACCAGTATTTTAGATTAATCAAATAATTGTTTCAGCTCTAAATAAGTTAATACTGCATTTCTTGACAGCCGCAATAATGTATTCTCCCATTTTTCCAGTGTCTGCTGCCAAAATGTTGTCTGAGGGAGGCTCTTTCATGAAGGGGATGCTCATGGGAGGCCTCTTCTGCTTGGTGCTGTCACTCCTGGGTAGTTTCAGCCCCAGCACAGAGTCCAGGACAGAGGACCAACACCATCATCATCACGTAAAGGCCCCAAGTAAAGACGAGTTGAATCGCCTCTCTGACAGCCAGGTGCAGGAGTTGAGCAATCAAGTCCGGGTTTATTGCATCATCATGGTACAGCCAAAGATCCTTGTTTATTGGGCTACAGCTATGGACACCTGGAGCAAACACTGTGACAAGGCTGTGTTTTACACCTCAGAGTCCTCTAAGGCACTCGAGGCCATAGACCTGAAAGAAAAAGATGACTGGGCAAGGTTACGTAAAGCTCTGAAGCATGCTTATGAGAATGCCGGCGACCTGCGCTGGTTCTTTGTGGCACAACCGACTACTTTTGCCATCATTGAGAACCTCAAATACCTGGTGCTTGCAAAGGATCCCAGTGAGCCCTTCTATCTGGGCAATGCTATGAAGTCAGGGGAGCTTGAGTATGTGGCGTATGATAGTGGCATTGTTCTAAGCTATGAAGCTCTGAAAAGGCTGGTTCACGTGTTCCAGGACGAAGACAAATGTCCAGAGAGAGGACGAGCCCTGTGGAAGCTGAGTGATGACAAGCAGCTGGCCGTGTGTCTCAAATATACAGGTGTGTTTGCAGAGAACGGAGAAGATGCACACGGAAAGGGCCTGTTCAACAGCAAGAGTGTCGACAGCCTGATAACAGACAGCATGAAGGACAACCCCACCAATGTGGTGGAGGGCTGCTGCTCCGACTTGGCAGTCACATTCAGCGGGATGTCACCAAATCAAATGCAGGTCATGATGTTTGGAGTTTACAGACTCCGACCTTACGGACACGATTTTCATGACTCGTTAACATTTTACCCTCCTGAAGGATCAGACAATGACTAGAGACTTATTCCTTCAAGCTGGATGTTGCATTTTAATTATTTTGCGTCAGTGATGGCAAAACTCAGTTTTGGGAGATGGGTTTTCTTATGCTGTTTGTAAAACTTGATCCTGGGTGGGAACAACACTTTTATGTATATTTGTACCTTTTGCACTTGGCACAATCAGCGCCACATTTCTTTGTGGTGTAGGTACACAGCCAATGGGAGTGCCGTCCTTTTGAATGAAGATATGACTGGGAAATATATCAAACCTGTGACATAAGATTACCTGGAAGTTTTGGTTATTGTAATATTGTTATGTATCTTAAATGTTTGTCTTTTTGTCGTCTTAAAGCTGCATTAGTTATTGAGTGATACTGTTTTGAAATTATTTAACTGTTCAAATTGCTCGGCCCTCTTCACCACATTACGAATTACTTTTTCTTTCCTCTGAGAATTGAACCAAACATGTTCTAACCCAGTTCTAAATTAAGTGCATTTCTTGTCATGTAATGCTTGTTTATCTCTACATATTACAAATTGGCCTTCACAGCTTAATTAATCAGTGAGTAAAGTAAAGTATATTTCTTCTGTCACACAAAAAAAAAAAAAAAAGGACGGAGGTGTCATTGTTCCACTGACATTTTAAAAACACCTGGCTTCAGACTGACCATATGATGCCTTTTTAAAAAGAAAAGAAAAGAAAAAAAAAACACTTGGATAATAAAAGTAAGTAAAATGAATCACTGAATGACTATTACAGGGTGGGAATGAGGGTGAAAGAACGCTAGTAGCTTCCAGGTGTTAATGAGGTTTACCTTTAGTATACTGTGAATGATTTTTGCTCAAGGGTAATTTTTTTTTTTTTACAATTAAAGGACTTCTTTGCTAAGATGAATGCTTCATATATATATATATATATATACTGTACATATATATACGTATACATATATATATATATATATACGTATATATATATATATATATACATATACATATATATACGTATATATATATATATATATACACATATACACATACACATACACATACACGAACTGGGGCCCCTATTTTCTATTCTGCCTTGGTTACTAGTTACACTGGAGACCCCTTTTTTGTCCACACATCCAGTGGTGGAATGTCACCAAGTACATTTACTCAAGTACGTAAATACAATTCTGAGGTACCTTCAGTATTTTAATTTAATGCTACTTCATACTTTCACTCCACTACATTTCAGTGAGACTTCTTACTGCACTACATTAATCTGTAGCTGTAGTTACTAGGTACTTTTCAGAATAAGATTTTACATGCAAAACACTCAATTTAAAAAATATGATGCCGTGCTTTGCTGTTAAACTGATCAGTAGTGTATACAGTACCTAAAATTGGCTACACTTTGAAAAACTACATTAAGTTATAGTATCCAATAATACATATTATTAAAAATGTTACTCTGAAAGAGCGTTCTTGCATGAATACTTTTTACGTGTAATTGACTATTTGTAGACTATGGTATTTCTACTTTTACTTAAGTATCTGAGTACTTCCTCCACCACTGGTTATATCTTAACACATACTGCAAAATAACATTTTGCTGCTGTCAGGCAAGATTATACACTATTATACAGTTTTAGTTAGGTGTACCTAATAAACTGCCAACTGAGTGAATGCCCACAATTTCTGCCAATTTAACTTGACAGAAACCAGACTGTTGAGCTGTACTCACAAAAGAGAGGAGCAGAATAACCAGTTGGAAATAGGCTACCCTTTCAGTCAGTATGTAAACACGCTCACACCCTGTTTTGTTGAAGACACAGGTCAATATATTAACTCAATGCATGAAAACCTGATAATCAAGATAAGCCTGAAGTAATGAATTAGCCTTTCTTGTCACATTTATCATTTGATTTAAATTCTATAATCACAGGCAACACAATAACATGGGCATCAAAATACCAGATGACAATCAAGTTTAAAGCGAGATCTTTCTTTTATTTGTGCATAATGGCAACTGATTCAAAGCCTTCAGCAAGTTACGCAGCTAAGTCCGCAGGTGTAAACGGTTGACTGGCAGCACATGCCTCACTGTCAAGAGCTCCACACTTTCCGGGCGGGGTGGGGGGGGTTGGGCAGTGGGTGTTGCGGGTGTTGATGTCATCATTTATACGTCTTCATGTGCCACAATCCATCATTCAGATAGTGAACATTCTCGATTCCAATTCCCTTGTTGACTTTTTCTCTATTTGCAAAAGACAGATACAGATTAAGATCATGCATCTTCATGACAGACGCAAAGACAGGAAATGTTTTCTTCTGTAAAAATGTACACAAGGCTTACATGCTTTCTGCAGACATCTTCATAACACCAACACAAAGTGCATGTTGTTTTCCCTCTGCCATAATGGCCTGCATCCTCTTGTTAAGGACAAACTTGTTGGTAATTTGAATTTAAATGTAGCTACTGGCGACGTCAGAATATTTCCTAAATATATTGGAAGGTTATATGTTTCAGTATTGTAAAAATAGAAAAGAAAGAAACTCTATGGTAGAGAACAATTTTACACATTTACTGTAGTGCAAAAATCAAACAGCCTCAACGTGCATGGCTGGATTAACCATCTCGACGGCCTCAGGACATGAGATTTGGGCCCAGAAACTTCCCAATGAACCCAGAAACACATCAGTACTACTAGAGCTGGAATGATTAATTGATTGACAGAAAATTAAATGACAAGTCTTTTTTTTTTTTTTTTTTTTTATAGCAAAGGTGTCAAAAAATGTACTGGCACCAGCTTCTCAAATATGAATATTTGCTAGTTTGTCAGTTTTCTATCATACATCATTTTTGGGTTTTTGACTGTTGGATAGACAACAAAAGCCAGTACAAACAAATATGAATATGTTAGCTTGGGCTTCGGGGAATAATGATCAACATATTTCACTATTTTCTGACATTTAAAACATTAATCATTTGATCATCAAATAATGTGTTGGTGTTAGTGTTGGTTGTAGCCTTAAAGTACTCTTTAGTTTACAACGAACAACCACAATCTAAACTAAAACAATGAAGGTCTTGAAACTAGATTTTCATACAGAGTCCATCTAAAAAGACAAAACTGTACTTCAGTGGTGCAAAGTTCTAACAAATTTGTGATGAATCAAATTATGTAGATAGAAATGATATGGAGTGAACTTGTGGCTTTTGGGGCCCCTGGGTAGTTGCCCAGCTGGTATTCCAGCATCATGTATAAAAGGATACAACTACTGTGTCAGCTTTAGCTGTGTAGAGTTTAGCCCCTGGTGACGTCAGCCCAGGACACATGATGTTGGCTCCACTTAAGACAAATTTAATGGCCCCTTTGTCTACTTGCTGGTGTGGGAGAATGAAAGGATCTATGAAAAGAGAAAGGAGTTTCTTATCAGTGTGAGACAATTCAGATACAACAGTCAGCAAGTTGGCCTTAGTGGAGCTTACATTTATGCAACAGTCTGAGTGTTGGGTAGAATGGTCCTTCTCTCTGTCTGAAGAAAAGCAGCTCTCCATTCACTGTCAGGATTTCAATGTGTTCATGGCTGGAGGAAGAACAAAAATAAAGAAATGCAAAACATCCACTACACAAAATGACAGTGTATGAGATACTGATGAGAAAAATTAAATAACACATCATACCATCTCACTATTTTGACAGGGTCCTTTTTTGGCATTATGTGATTGAGCCATGACTCAATGTCAGGAAACTGTTCCAGCAGCTGATTTTTGATGCCTTTGATCACTGATGTTTTCAGCTGGATACAGTTCGACACATTTTCCTTCTCATCAAATCTGAAACAAATGATATGCAAAATGAGGCCATGAGAGGTGTGATATACAGCTGAGCGCTCTGGAAAAAGATAGTAAATGGGCCTTAAATTAATGTTAATTTGTCTATTTACTGTTCCCAAGGTAACAGATACATGAATACATAAATCATTTAAACAATTATGGATCTATTTAAATCTTATACAGACAGTCCCTATTTCAACTGAATTTCAGAGTCTTAATATTGCAGTTGTTGAAAGCAGTACATTTACTTGAGTACTTGTACATTACTATGGATTAAAGGCCCTGCACACTCACACTGGTGTGTGGCTGATCAGACCTGCTCAGGTTGTAGTGCAAAGCTCTGCTGGGATTTACCTGAGGTCACCAATAAAATGACGAAATTGTGAGTCATCTTGCTCTCTGTTTTTGATCTTATCTTATACGACAAAATATCACCTTCACAACCTTGAGGGCTCTATAATTGAACACTTTTGGCAAAAGTATGCCATTCTGCAAAATAAGTACTTACACTGAACATTTTAAGTACATTTTGCTGGTTATATTTCTGTGTTTTCACACAAGTAGAATTTTGAACTCAGGTCTTTTACTCAAGTGTTTTCAGTGTGGTCCTGATGCTTTTACTTGAGTAAAGGATCTGAATACTTCCGCCACTGTAATATAGTTCTGAATTTTATTTTCAATACACACTGACAGAGGAGACAGTTTTGAGACCTTAATAGATAAAATACGTACATATTAAAATTAGTGATTATGAATGCAAGTAGCTATGTGATTCTAATTTTCAAAGTGAAATTACTCTTAGCGGGTGTAGAGATGTGCCCGTATGTTTCCACTTGTCTCAAGATGACACGACTTAATTATGATTTATGGATTTATGGCGGTATTGTCATGTTCAGAAACGTCCAGTTTTTGATCTGGCTTAGGCCAATTGTAAAACAATAACAGGGGATTTCATGAAATATAATTCATGTCAACTTGTCTCACTGACTGAATACAAACCATCATGCTCAAAAAGAGGATGTCTAATCAGTTAGCGTTAGCCACCTAGCTGCAGTTAGCTAATGCTACAACATGGAAATACTCAGCAACTTACTTTTTAAACATTCTCGGTGGTCGCCGTTACCGTGTTCCTCAATAGTGATGAACTTGTCCGCACTTAATGCACCAGATCAGATATGGTAAACACAAGCAAATTACAAAACACAAATAATCTGTTGAGTAATGCTAGAGCAGTTCCACGCCTGTTTTGCAGCGGAGGGCCAGCAGCAGTATAAGTGTTGTGTCATTTCACGACAGTTTTTGACGTTACACGGCAGGTCAGGCTGAATTCGACTGTCACCTAGGTAACCTCTGTACCTGAAATATTTAGCTTTACAAAAAGCAAAGTCGTCATAGATGTCAGTTTTTATCTTTCACAGACAGTTAAACAAGTCAATGATGAGTCTACTAATAAACATTCCATACACATCAAATTGATGCATTAAAATAGAAAAAATAAAAAGATACATAAAAAATAAAAAGTTTAGAAATATTCAACGAGGTGAACGGATAATCTATTTTGAATTGGAGGAGGTCATAATACAATCTAGTGCTTGAGTTAATGTGTAAATATAATAAATAAAGGTATTTTTAGTTGAAATGGAGCAGATAACTTTTTATTTTGTGGTGTTGGTACATTCCGAATGCAGGACTTAATTGTAATGGGATACTTTTTATATTGTGGTATTAGTACTAAAGTAGCCTAAACGATCTGAGTACTTCGAAAACTGGAATTCCATCATTAATTCGTGTATGGCAAATTCATAACCAGAAAATAACATCAAACATGGCGTTAATCTGGCGCCATCTTGTGTCCAGGGAGGTTACAGCACTGTAGTCGGTTAAAAAAAGAATGAAAAAAACACGCTTGTGCAAAAAGTACTTTTGTACAAAGTACTTCCGGTGAGGTCACGAACTAGCTTTTTATGAGCGATTTTTTTCCCGTGTGTACTTACGGATGTTTTACTATCACGTGAGGATATTTTTTGCGGTAGCTACATTTCTTCTGTAAATAATTTTCTTTAACGACCGCTTTAATTAACGGCTCTAACTGAACGACTGCACAACGCGGTTAGACAAGAGAGGCAAAAAGAGGAAGCAATAGCCAACCATCTTTCTTCTTCTGCCAGCAATAACAAGAAAGAGACCAGGCTAGGTTCAAGTAGAGCTGTGTAGTTTGCAATTTATTGTCTGTTTTATACTAGATAAAGGACTCGTGTAAAACCTCTCCGTGTTAAGGTAGATTAAAGCTCCCGGACACTGAACTCGTCCCCTCTCCGGCAAGCCTGGAAGTTTCGGATCAGAAGACTGGCTGTTAAGAATTAGTATTCCCGTTTTTTCATGTTTCCAACAGGTTTATCTTCCCCTAACCCCCCACCACCGCCAACCCAGGAGGCTAGACCAGCGGCTACTGATGTCAAAAACGACAGCGGTAACATCACATCTCCGAAGAAGAGGAAAATAAACGGCTCAGAGAGGGAAGACACTACTGACACGATCTCCCCCTCGCCTCCCAAGACCCTGAATTCCTCTTCTTCCTCCTCCTCCTGCTCTCCCACTCCGCTGCACATTCAGAAGAAGTTGAGGTTTGAGGATTCAGTGGATTTCATTGGACTGGATGTGAAAATGGCTGAGGAGGCTGCTGCTGCTGCTGCTGCCGCCGCCGCCGCCGCCGCCGCTTCGTGCTCTAATAACAAAAGCAAAGCCGTGTTCCTGCCCGGTGGCGTGGGACACCATGCAAACGGACTGACGAAAACCGCAGGCTCCGGCACCTTCTCCAACAGTAAACCTGGTGCTGCCAAGAAACTAGTCATCAAGAACTTCAAAGGTAGCAGATGCATTGTTGGATGATGTGATTCAAGCTCCAAAACTATCAGTGGCAACAATATACAACTTAATTTCAACTTCTAATAAGTCCCCAGGCTCTGTGAAGGTGTCCTTAATTGGCATTGCATTGTAAAAATCGTTATATAAGACAAAATAGGGTATTTGTGATGGTCTTTTCTTGGCCCTAAAGGCTGCAATACAATTCATTGCCAAAATATCAAGAACTTCGATGAGTGAATGAATCATAAATCCCTCCATCTATTACTAAGAGCTAGAGCTGCAACTATCAGTTATTTTCATTATCAATTAATCAGATTATTTTCTCTATTAATCATTTTATCTCTCAAATGACAGGAAATAGTGAAAAATGCCTGTCACCTAATGTCATAGTTTGTCTGACTGCCAGTTAGAAAATCAGAGATATACCTCAGTTTACAGTGATATAAAACAGAGAAAAGAAGAGCATAACTGATCTGGGCAAAAGTGACAAATTACATAATTTTACCCATCATTTTCACATCTATGATGTGACAATAATTTTTGAGCTATTTGGACTGTCACAACATATTTAGACTCGGGCTACAACTAACGATCACAGGCTGTCACAAAACATTCAGACGAGTTATTTTTGGGAAATTGTCATTGATTACCAAGTAGTTAAGTAGAGGCAGTGATTCATTCATTCTCTTTACTTGTTCATCATAGTAATATTAGTTAAATAAGATAAACAAGTTCTGAAAATTGTATCTGAACTGACCAGCGCAGTCTTCAAAAGACTACATTTTAATCATCATATATGATCTTACAGTAACCAAAAATCCAGGTGACATTACATCTTAATAACACAATACAGCATACAGATTAGGAGTAGGCATTATGGATAAAATACTGTTATTTAAAAATAAATAAAAAAGCCATATTGATTGGCTCTAATGCATCCAGGAATAGATGCCAAGATATAAACAGTGTGGCAGCATTTCATTGATGAATTCAAATCGTCTCACGGTAGACACACTCGTATCATTCTTAATACACATATCTGACTTTTTGTCAACATCACCCAGCTCTACTTAAAATAGAAACACACACAGGTGTTTTTAAATAGCCCTGCTGACACTGGTGACACAGCATGATGGTCCACCGTAAGACATTCAATGCCTGCAGAAGTTGACAGTGTTGTCAGAACATTTTGTGTTCTTGTTTTTGCTTGCAGAAAAGCCCAAGTTGCCTGAGAACTACACACAGGAGACCTGGCAGAAGCTCAAGGAAGCAGTGGAGGCCATACAGAACAGCACTTCAATCAAGTACAATCTAGAGGAGCTCTACCAGGTATGATTGCAAGCCTGTTGACTTCTTAGAGGAAGCTCACTTTGGATAGCTGCTCCTGTGTAGTCATGTTCATACCTTGCACTGATATAGAAACACTAATTTGTTTACACTTTTTTGTCCCCTCAGGCTGTTGAGAACCTGTGCTCCCATAAGATATCTGCCAAACTTTACAAACAGCTGAGGGCCGTGTGTGAAGACCACATCAAGGCGCAGATTGATCAGTTCAGAGAATATCCTTTACAGTTTCTGTGTTATCCCTAGCTCCAGTCACTGAATCTTCACGGGTATTTAATTTAGTTTAGCCAACTGCCGATCATTGCAGTCGTATTAAAGCAGATCTCTTGAATGAATTCACACTTTTGCCTTAACGTTGTTCTCACGGATGCCCTGGACAGTGTGCTTTTCCTCAAGAAAATTGACAAGTGCTGGCAGGATCACTGCAGACAAATGGTATGTTGTATAACCTTAAGTCAAGTGATAGTTGCCATATCCCTTGAAGGTCTTTTAACATAACGTTACCTTCCATGCAGTTTGTTTGTTATTTACTTTTCATGTTTCAAGGGGTATTCCAATGGTTTATTATTTCACTTCCATAAAGTTGGGGGACTTGTGAGAGACATGTTATAAAAGACAGATCAAACTCATAGCAGCAGAAGCCGAGTTATTCTGACTTTTCATCCCTCGTACAGTTCAAACATGCTGGATCCTACACCTCCAATAATGCAGCTCAGTAGCATCTGTCATCTTTGATGTTGACGAGCCAGTGTGATAGGTTGTACAATGCGTTTGGGAATATCCCAGCAAAAACTGCCCATCACACAATGCAATGAGACTAATGGAGAGTAGAAATGACTGGAGAGAAGATGGACCCTGAACTGTTGAAGAACTGCAACAGTATCTGTTAGACAGTGATACCCCCATCACGGACAGAAAGAAAGACATTGTCAAGTGTCTCGCCTCTTCAACCTGTAGCCATGGGCAGCTCCAGCAGTGTGTTATAATCAAGAAACGAGAGGTTGAGAAATACATGTAGGACGTGGACTGACATGCGTGAACTTCCCATCCCCTTGAAGCCACAAAAAAAAAAAAAAACACCAAAACTCCAAACAAAAATGTTAATGTCAGTGTGAAATTTGGGATTGTAGTTTGGTCTATCAACAGCTCCACACCCCCAATTTGTAACACAGACTTTCTGTTAAATAACTGAATTTTCAAGATCAGGGTTGTTTTCTCAGAAAGCTCCTTCAGAGCCACAGAAGACAACAATTGTCCCAGGCTGAGTGGTACTCCCTTTGACGTGTAAACTGAACTTGACGTGTGAAATCGGTCGAGTACCCCTTAAACTTGGTTAAAGAAGATAGTTAAATTAGAATGTCAGTGGTGTTTTCTGCTCATTTTGGATGTTTGTCATTGTTCCACAGATCATGATTAGGAGTATATTTTTGTTTTTGGACCGCACCTATGTTTTACAAAATTCAATGCTGCCATCAATCTGGTGAGTGATCCCTGATTTTAACTGTTGTACAAGAGTATGAGGCTGATTTCTGTTGAAGTGGGTGTTGAACAAGCTGCTCTGGTCTGCAGGGACATGGGTCTGGAGCTGTTCAGGTTCTACATCATCAGTGATCTGAAGGTCCAGAGTAAAACCATCGATGGGATTCTGCTGCTCATAGAGAGGGAGCGAAATGGAGAGGCGATAGACCGCAGTCTGCTGAGGAGCCTGCTGAGCATGCTCTCTGACCTTCAGGTAACTTTGATTATTATCTTAACAATGATCCAGACATGAAGTGATGAATCTGTACATTTGAAAGCCTACATCACATGGATTTCAAAGGAGAGTGTGGTTTTGGCAGCTGTGTTGTCGGTGATTATCAGCTGCACAGGGATGTGATGAGCTGTCAGTTTCCTGTTGACAAATGGATTTAATGAAACCTGTTCTTTCGCCAGATTTATCAAGACTCCTTTGAGCAGCGCTTTTTGGAGGAAACTAATCGCCTGTACGCTGCAGAGGGACAGAGGCTGATGCAGGAGAGAGAGGTGATTTATTTGCCCCTGATACTCAGGGCACAGTTTGTTTTTTGTCGGTGGAATTTTTTCTCATTTCAGAGACTAGCTGGTCAAATATAGACAATTTTATTCTACCTGGTGATTAGAGCTGAAACAATTTGTAAATTACATGATCAGTTGATCAGCAGAAAATGAATCACCAACTATTCTGATACTCGATCAATCGTCAATCGAAATTCCAACTATTCTCTAGTGTCAGCTTCTCAAACCTGAGGATGCGAAGCCTTCCTTTGTCATATATAATTATAAACTGAATATCTTCAGTTGGTCAGATAAAACAATCCAAACTGGTCTAAGTGGTTCACCCTGGGCTCTGGGTAATTATAGTGGGAATTTTACAATATTTTCTGACATTTATAGACAAAACAATTAATATATTAATCAAGAAAGTAATCATAAAATTAATCTACAATAAAAAATAACCATTAGTTGCAGCCCTGCTTATAATATTTCCAGCACAGCTACACTACAATTTCATCACTCAAATATTAAGGCATCTAAAACATGGATTGTAACAGCAGGCTTCAGTCTGAGTACCTCAGAATGAAATGGAAAGGAAGTATGTTGTGCTCATTTTTGAAAAATACAGAGCTCAGCCCCACACAAATAAAACCACAAATAGAAATCTTTCGTAGAAGAGGGAATAACAGAAATGTATCCACTTCTGAAAGCTGCAGTAGATCAAAATACAATGCAGGTACAATAAACATTGTGTTTTGACTGAAGGCTCAGTTGGAAAACCTTTTACCCGATAAAAATAACTATAGAAAAACATTCACTTTGCGACTTATGGCTTTGCTTACTTGCTGATGCATCAGAACTGAGTAATATTTTCATTCTTATCTTTAATGTCTCTGGTTTTGATCCAAGGTTGGACAGCTCAGACTCTGATGTTTCCCTGCAGCTGTAAAAACATTTATTTGCAGTGAAAGCAAAATGGTTATTTATTTTTGCGATACTGTGGATTAAGGGATTTCTCTACATGTATGAATTGTACTATTGGCACAATCAAGATTTAGGTTTGCAAATAAACGTCTTATTAAGTTTTAGTGCTAATATGTAAAAACTACAACACTTGAACTCCTGAACCTGACATTAGTTTATCTCAGGAAATGAAGCAGACTGAGCCAGTACTATCTTTTAAAACATTTTTTCAGTTTCAGATATTTTCACTCGAGACTGTTACAACAGAATTTATTTGATCATAGATGGTTTAAATAATATTTTAACATTATTCACTATGGTTACATTCTTAGATTCAAAGTGTGATAATTGTCTTCCATGCAGTTGTTGTTGCTAAGGCTGCAAGACCCTCTGATTCCTATCCAGTCCTTCACACTCAGTTGCCAGCTTATTAGGTACACCTAGCGAAAACTAATGCAGTCTAACACAACAGTCCTGCAGTAAATCCCCCTTCCTGAAAGTTATAATGTTCAGTTTATTCTACAACTGTTCTAGAGAGCTTTTGATTCCATTTATCCATTTTTATACTATTTCTCTGCTCTGGAAAACACTTTGAGCTCTTCTCTGGAAAAGTGCCTGCTAAATGTTGTTGTTGTTGTTGTTGTTGTTGTTGTTGTTATATTGTTGTTAACTCCTAATTAGATGTATTGGGAAAAAAAGTATATTCTCAGTGTAAATGTCACTGCTTTTGTAGGTACCAGAATATCTCCATCATGTCAACAAGCGCTTGGAGGAGGAGGCTGACAGAGTCATCACATATCTAGACCAGAGCACACAGTGAGTGTGAGACTGTAGTATTCAGTTTTCAATTTCACAATGACAGAGATTCATTTGTAACCTGAGTATTTTTCCCTCTCAGAAAACCACTCATTGCTACGGTGGAGAAGCAGTTGCTGGGTGAACATCTCAGTGCAACTCTGCAGAAAGGTACACAACAATAAACACTTTCTATAAATGTATACATGTGTGGCATTACAGCAGTAAATAAATGTCTTCTAAGATACGTTACATATTCAGCCATCATGTCTGTCTGACTACATACTGGGACTTGAAAGTATAAAAAAGCAGCTGGTTCTGACCTCTGACTTTCTGTTGTTGCAAACTTCCAGGGCTGACTCACCTGCTGGATGAGAACAGAATTCAGGATCTATCTCTTCTCTATCAACTCTTCAGTCGAGTGCGAGGTGGTGTTCAGGTCCTCCTGCAACACTGGATAGAGTACATAAAGGTATGACAGCATTAACAGTGATGAAAGACTGAACATAATGAAGGGTGAAGGTGCGGAGCTCTCACGATTCGTTGATAACCGTTTTCCATTGTTTTTCCAATGTCTTGAAAATGAACATCTAGGCTTTTGGAAGCACAATCGTAATCAATCCAGAAAAAGACAAAACAATGGTGCAGGAGTTGCTGGACTTCAAAGATAAGGTGGATCACATCATCGACATCTGCTTCATGAAGAACGAGAAGTTTGTCAATGCCATGAAAGAGGCTTTCGAAACATTCATCAACAAACGGCCAAATAAACCTGCAGAGCTTATTGGTTAGTATTTTAGCCTTTTCCCCATTTCTAACTAAAATGAGAATATAATCATAATCTTCAAGAAATGACATGCACTATAAATCTGCTTCTGCTTACAGCAAAACACGTGGATTCAAAGTTAAGGGCAGGAAACAAAGAGGCAACAGATGAAGAACTGGAGAAGATGCTGGATAAGATCATGATTATCTTTAGATTCATCTATGGTAACATTTCCTGACACATTTTTTTCAGTTGAGTTATTTTTTCCCCTCTGTGGATGTTGTTAATGTAATCGTGTATTGTCACTGTAGGAAAAGATGTTTTTGAGGCCTTTTACAAAAAGGATCTGGCTAAGAGGTTGCTGGTTGGAAAAAGCGCTTCTGTTGATGCTGAAAAATCGATGTTGTCAAAGCTGAAACACGGTTAGTTTTTCAATATACACAAACACACGAAATGTGAAATAAATAACAAAGTGGGAATCATGACTCTGAACCTACATCGACGGGTGAACTTTTGGTTTTTCCTCAGAATGTGGAGCAGCGTTCACCAGCAAACTGGAGGGGATGTTCAAGGATATGGAGCTTTCTAAAGACATCATGGTGCAATTCAAACAGGTAAGAACAACTATAGTGAGTTCAATCTCTAAGAATATCCACATGGCATGAGATGAATAATCTACTAATTATTTTCTCGATTAATTGCTTAATTGTTGTCTTGTCTTGTCAGATGAACTGTGCAAAAATAGATTATCACAATGAAGAAGTTAGAACAAGGGAATGTTTGGCATTTTTGCTGAAAGAGTGACTTTAACATTTAATTGATTATGAAAATTGTTGGTAATTATTTTTCTATGTGTCAACACAATCAATTAATCAGTCGTTTCAGCTTTACCTCCAAGCACACATACTCTACTGTTTATCTGACAATCGTCACAATTATTGACCCCTTATTAACTTTTCATACTTGATATAACCCTTTCATACGGTTTTATAAACCACTGCAGTGTTTTGGCGTCTAATAAGTCTTCACTTATTTGTGTTCCTGTAGTATATGCAGTGCCAAAACATTCCTGGCAACATTGAGTTGACTGTCAACATCCTCACTATGGGTTACTGGCCAACCTATGTCCCGATGGAAGTGCACCTGCCTCCTGAGGTTGGTGCTGAGCAAATATTGAAATTTTCGGAGCATGCCGTTTTTATACCCTGCCATGCAATAAATGTACTGAGTGGTGCTTCGTAACGCCTCTGTTATCTTTGTCCAGATGGTGCGACTGCAAGAGATCTTCAAGACCTTCTACCTGGGCAAACACAGTGGCAGGAAGCTGCAGTGGCAATCAACACTAGGGCATTGTGTGTTAAAAGCTGAATTTAAGGAGGTGAGTAACTAATTTCTAAGAATGCTCAGTTGTATTTTGCTCACTAAGTGAATGAGCGAGTGATAAGTGTTCTCTTTGATTTTTCTCCCTAAAGGGCAAGAAGGAGCTGCAGGTGTCACTTTTCCAAACACTTGTGCTACTGATGTTTAATGAAGGAGAAGAGTTCACCCTGGAGGAGATCAAACTGGCAACAGGAATAGGTTTGTGTCATCACACATCACATCAGAGTTTGGTTGATAGCACTTTGATTTTTGATGAAGTAATAAGGGCTGAAGTACTCGTCATTCAGCACCACTGATCTAAAACACTATTTGCGTCTGCTGGTTCACAGAGGACAGTGAACTGCGCCGGACGCTGCAGTCACTTGCTTGTGGAAAAGCACGAGTCCTTACTAAAATCCCAAAAAGCAAAGATGTGGAGGATGGGGACAAGTTTTCCTGCAATGATGACTTCAAACACAAGCTCTTCAGGATCAAAATAAACCAGATCCAGATGAAAGAAACGGTACAGCTGTTGCCTTACAGTAGTTTCCCCAATTTCAATATTGTCAGAATATTTGGAAATTATTTCAACTTGCATCTTTTCCTTCAGGTGGAGGAGCAAGCCAGTACCACAGAAAGGGTCTTTCAGGATCGTCAGTATCAGATTGATGCTGCCATTGTGCGGATCATGAAGATGAGGAAGACTCTGAGCCATAATCTCTTGATGTCTGAGGTGTACAACCAGCTCAAGTTCCCCGTCAAGGTGATACACACACCCTTGAATCTTTTTCTGGGATTGCCTTTTGCCTTTTTATTATATAGCAACAGTAGAGGGATGACAGCAAATGAGCAGAGAGAGATTAAGTGGTCTGTTCCTTAAACACCCAGGCCACAAGAACAACCCACAATCCTTGAGCCTAATTTATGAGAAATGTTGCATTGATTTTATGTGGAAGTGAAGCCAGTGTTTTAAATCTCAAGTTTCAACCTCAACTTTTTTTCTATATCCACTTTGTCCTGTGCAGGGTCACAGGGCTTATTTGTTATTGTTAATTGAAAACTAGCTGTTTCAGTTTAAAAAGTTATAAATTTGCACCATTTGCCAAATTAACTTTTGTATCATGCAAATTATAGGAAATTAAGAAACATCTGAGGATCAAATACTGGATTTTAGAGACCAATATCAATATTTGGTATCCTATAGTGATTTATCTGCCAATGTTTTTTTTTTTTTTTTTTACACATAACATAGACATATTCTTTTGATAAGTCTCTCTTAAATTTGTGTTTTTTAAATACAGTATTTGTGACCACAAACTTTTTACAGTTAAAAAATGAACTTTTCAGTGCTCCCTGGTGGACAAGCTGCGAATTGGGGACACTGTTTCTAAATGTGCTTAGACATATCTTCTTGTTCAGCCGACAAATGCACCCGTTGTTTATAAAGTACATCTATAAAGGTTTTTTTTATATATATATATAAATTAAAGTAATCTGAAATTTAATTTAATTTAATTCTCTTAGGGCTTCTTTTTGATCTACAAGTGTACAGGCTGTCATGGGTGTTATTTTACAGAAGCATCCCCCCTGCATACAAGCTATGGGTCCCATTATCTGACAGTACTGTTAGAGTTAAATTAAGAGTTGATTTAAGACATTTTTGCCAGCTAAGATCAAAACTAGCTTGTACAAAAGGGATCTTTATAGAAAGTGCTATGGCTAACATGAATCTGCTTTTCATTGTGATTTACGTCACAACTCAAGAGAATAAAATTAACCAAAAATGTTGGCCTGTACCTCATGTGTTTACTTCTGCTTCCTCTTCTCTTCCAGCCTGCTGACTTGAAGAAGAGGATAGAGTCTCTTATTGACAGGGACTATATGGAACGTGACAAGGAGAACTCCAACCAGTACAACTATGTGGCTTAACGAAAGAAAAAACGACAGAGAAAAAGAGATGCAGATAGTCCAGTCAGGCTGAAAGCTGCTCTGAGTGATCGGTCTCTAAAATATTTTGCTCCAGTGGATGTTAACCATTATCATCTTCAACCTAGCGACCGACAAGTGAATGGATACTGCTCCACAGGATTTTTGTCAGGGGTCTTGTGATCCTGTGGACTGCATGCCCATTGAAAAGAGAATATTGTCCATATTTCTCAATGCCTCTGAGAGAGTTGGGCTACCGTGGACAGACAAAGAAGACACTCAGATGTTGTTCCGTTTGCTCTTTTTTTTCTTTTTTTTTTTTTTTTTTTTTTTTTTTTTTAATGGAGAGGAAAAATATTTATTTTCAAACTTAGATTCTTCTTTGTCCATAGTTTGAATCAATATGCTCTTTGTTATCAAGTCACTTTTTTTTCTTTTTGTTCACTCAGTATCCCAAGCAAATAGTGACACACCTAACAATGCTCTAAATGTACCACACTTTGGAGAAAAAAAAGGATCAACAAAAAATTAAACTGATTCTTGTTTCTTCAGCCAGTGTCAAATGTGGGACTATCAGACTAACATACATATTAGAAAATTGACAATTGGACTATATTTGTGTCAAATGTGTGATCCTGCGGCAGAGTTTAACATTTTTTAAGGCCATGCAGCCATTTGACAAAGCTGTGATCATGAATAATGAATACAAAAGGCATTCAAAGCAGTTTGTGCCAAAAAAGGAGCACTTCTTTTGTTATAGGGTGTATTTAAGCTGCTAAAACAGTTCAGTTGTACAAGTATATGCATTTAAGTTTCTCATTTGTTCTTTATTTGTACTTGTTTGTACATACTTCACAAAAGTGACATGAGCCCATCTGACAGTCGACTGCTTTTTTGTTTTTTGTTAACCCTTAGAAAGTATACTAAAAGCACAACGCCATCAGAGCCCATTTCCCCATCTTCACTGGTGTCATACCACATACATACACTATATTTTTTAAAGTCTCCCAGTGGGGCTTGCAGGCCTTTGCTGATAAGTGGGAGTGGATCGCCTCAAAACATGAGGGAAAAATATGATTGATTAGACATGCCCTTGTTTGTATGAGTCTGTTAGATTTATTGCTTCAGATTAAAAACAACTGTTTCAATCAGATTTTTCTTTTATTAATCATTGTTTTCTAAAAAAATATATCATTGTCTTCGAATGAAGACCGCCCATTAGTAAGCATTTTTTTTTTTACTGAAACCATTAAACATTTACATTCTTGCCAGCATTAAAACTGCATACAGTACAATAATTAACTCTGTAAAAGGGGGGAGAGAGAATTAAATATAGACTTTAGTCCACACCTCTTCGTGGTTTTGACACACTGGTCCCTGTCATCTGACTTACATTTCCTGGTACAGTCGGCGGCGGCTCTGCTACAGCTCAAACACCGCTAACTGAGCGTCCCTGTCGGGCAGTTTTCACCTTCTCTCTGGTAACTGACACTCCAAACTACCCGGCGACCATGTCCCGATATGCTGCATTTGTCTTGTTCCTTGCCTGTGGGATCGGTATGTATCATCACATTAATTAATCTTCAAATCAACTGCGAAAAGTGATTTAAAAAATAAAAAATGGCAGTCCGTTTCTGCGAAGTGACGCGATTAAACTTATGGGACTCTACGGGCCTGGTGCTGCTGGGCTCAGGCTAAATGCTGCTGAAAAGAGATTTAAAGAGCATCTAATTTTAGTCACTGGTCTTCAATTTTGATGTGCATAAAGCAGCTCTGTTGTGTCTGAATTTACTTTACAGGCCTTAAAAAGCACCATCAGCTGTTCGTTAAAGGAGGAGCAGTCCAGTCGTGATGTTGTGCTAATGTAGCTTAGCTTGATTGCTAATTGTTTCCTACGTCAACAAAATAAAACTGGCACAGCCAAACGGTCTTGTGTAGCTCAAAAAGCCGTATTCATCTATCTAACTACTATTTATCATTTCATACCACCGTATGACAACCGCACTATACATTAAAAATAACTGTCAATTTAGCTTAAATGTTAAAACTGCTGTAATTTCATATTGTGTTGGTCAGTTAGCTAACTTAGCTGTTAGCGTAACCGATTGAGTAGCACTTGTTTTGAAAGCTTAAGTTCGAGTTAATGATAAAATATTAAACTCTCTGAGTCGTGTAACGATAGCCACACAGACTTTATTTAAGATTAAAACCCCATCGTGTTTAAAACCTCGTTCTCACATCATTAAAAGCCTTATGTCAACTGGCTGAAATAGTTAGCATTAGCAAGATAGCATTGGCAGCCGTTTTAGGTTTACAGTAAGTTAGCACGTGACAGTACAGCTAGAACGAATTACGTTCGAGCTTGCGTTATGTGATCTAGCAAATTAGCCAACCTAACTGACTTTAAATGCACAAAAAATACATAAAGATTATTAGATTATGACCATAAAGAGCCCTCACTATAAACCATATCACTTGTCAAATGAACGTTTTAAATGATGAATTAACTGGAGATTCTTCTGTTTATATAAGCTACTGTTACATGTAGTTATTTGCTGCGCTGTTGTTAACTAGTTTTGTTCATATATGTTATAGTTTGCTCGAAATGCGGTAGTTCTTCTGAGAGAGTTCATCTTCTAGCAGACAAATACACCGAGCGCGTACTCATGCATGTGAGAATCCTGGTCTTGGTACTGACGAGAGTTTTGCACATATGAACAACTTGTCCCGATTTTAGAAACTTAAAAAAAGCTTCGATCTTGGATTTAAAAACCTGGATATGTTACCCACAGTATCCGGATAAAAAACAGGTTATTGTGGCATTGAATACCTTATGTATGATTCTTAATGTTCTCTGTTGTCGCAGAACATAGTGGCTCAGATGATGACATATGAAAACACTTGTGTACACAGGAAAACCTGAATGTTGTTAGAACCGTGTATACAGAGATATGAACAACCAGGTTTCTCATGGTCCATATATCCCAAATATGATCAATGCAGGATACTCAAAACCAGGACACTAATGTGCATGGAAACATACTTAATATTACACCATATTCTGTGACTGAATCATGGGAATTTCAGCTATGTTGCCACTGCAAATGTTTTTACCATGCAGCCTGGGAATGAAATGCCAAAATAGTTTACTTCGAAGTCGATCATGAGAAATAGTTGTTTCAGCTCTAATGTGTAATAGGATACAAAACTCCAAAAACTACACTACTGTGTATGTCACAGTTTGTCACATTATACCTTTGCAAAATCCCAGAACATTAATGGCTCAGGATGAATATCTCTTTAAAATCCTCTTGGCTGCTATCAAGAAAGCCATCACATCAAAATGGCTGCAGCCAAACCCTCTAACTAAGGACAACTGGACTGCAGCTGTCAACAAAATAAACTGTATGGAGAAACTGGCCTTTATCTTAAGTATTACTACTGTGATATTATCAATGCTCAAACTCTTTTTTTGTACAAGTATAATGTTGCAAATGTCAACATCTCTTTTTAACTGAGAATGTTAATAAAAAAAATGTTGCAGTGCACCAGAACCTGTGATCACTTTCTGTGAGACCTGAGGATCAACTGTATGAAAAAGACTTAAAGTGTAGACCAAATATTGTTGGGTGAGATGTAACTTGGCTTCCATTATGTCTCCTAACCTGGCACGTCAGTACAAATACAGTATTTTTATAGCTACGTAGGTCACAAACACTCATGTGAGTTTTAGTTCATTTCATGTGCTTTATATGTTTTATGTTACCTGGGGTTGTGGCAGACAGTTGCTGAGTTGACGACAATCCATGCTGTCAAAACCATATTCTTAATCTGAATGGACTTTGGCCTCTTTGCTGTCACATTGTATAGTGTTTGTCTGTTTAAGTTGTCCACTTCAGTCAACCTGAGGTCATGCAGTCCTTATATTTATATATATATATATATATATATATATATATATATAGTCTGTATATAGGAAATGGCTCATAAATGCACTTGTATGACAGGTAAAATAGGGTATCTTCAGCCTGAAAGTAGTTGTATGGGATATTTCACAGAGTGAAATTGGCTGCTGTTCACTTATTTACAGTAGTTACCTAAAATCAAGGTCTTGTGCCAACATTTGTAGCATTTGGAAAATGGGAAATTGACTGATCCAAGTAGTATTTTGGTACATTTGTTGTGAAGATGAACCAATGTCAGCTGGAGGATTGTGATTCTGCTTTACCGATCATTTACCTAAAAATGTGAGTTATTAGTCTCATATTGGACCAGACAGACTTCATATGAACTGTCCATGAGTTTCCATTTATTAAATCCCAAATTAACTCTTTTCTTTTATTAGTAGTAATAATATGGTTTAGAAAGAAAATATGTAATTTTTCTTTGTCTTTCAGCCGTCCAGGTGTCACATGGCGTTGAGGTGAATGTCACAGACTCACAGGACAAGTTATGCCTCTATGCTAATCTGATGGTCAACTTCTCAGTCTCGTACGAAACAAAGGGCAATGAGGTGAGTGTCTGGTCTTGGGCCCACTGACCACCAGATGTTCTTCTATAACCTCCACCTCAACAAGCACGACTGTCAGACAACTCTTGTGGAAACAAATGTCATCATGCAAAGGGGAAATAAGGGGTGTCATGACAAAGCAAATTGATTCTTGCTATTCAGCATTTCAGTTAGTGTGTTTTCCTGTTGCATATCCTGCAATTGTCATGTCCTGTGTTGTTCTGATGAAAGCAGCTCACAGATGTGTTAGTAATTTTGAGAATTTTCTGACTTTCTGTAAGAATAATTATTATTGTCAAGCACTACAGGGGAACAATTAAAATACTGAAGTACAAGTTACTTGCTTGGAGGCAGGTATTTTTTTCACAAATTAAAATTATGCTAAGCATCAATGTGTCTGTTACAGGCACCAAAACGTTTTTTCCTTGTAATCTGTCAAGTCTGCTCTTAAACAATTAAACAATAAACTTATATATACATGTTGAATAAGTTTACACTCTGCTCTCATTTCAGAATAAAACAGTCAAGATGGAACTTCCCAATGATGTCACAAAAAGTGCAAGTAAATGTGACAACATAAGCTCATTGCTGAAGCTTGACTTCGGAGACGGGCACTCCTTCAGCATGAACTTCAGCATGAGTGGAAAAATGTACCAGGCAGACTTCATCACAGTTTCCTACAATCTCAGCGACTCATCTCTGTTCCCTGATTCTCTATCAAATGGTACCTTCTGAACTTCACAGTGCCAACAAAAAAAATATGCACATGGATGAAGGGCATTGCACTGATGCTGATGTGTGTTTGAATCTCTTTTAGAAACTGTATCTGTGACCGTGAAACCTCAGATTACAAATGTGGGCGTGGATACCTGCTACTCATGCAAGAGTGAAGACGTGATCCAGGCTGATTTTGTTAATATGACACTGTGGAACGTGCTCATACAAGCTTTTGTCAGTAACGGCAGCAAGAGTGAAAAGAGTAAGTGTACATGCAGCAACACACCTCATCCTGGCTGTAATATTTCTCTTCTGGTTTATATGGATGATCTCTTCTGTCTGTTTTCTCCCTGTGTAGTCACCTCTTGTAAAGCTGATACACCCACGACCCCTGTTCCCCCCACCACTCACGCCACCAGTACAACCACTGCAGCTCCTGTCACAAACTCTACTTCCACTGCCCCGCCTCCCACCACCACCCCGACCCCCACCCTCCCCCCACCCATCACTGGGAACTACAGCATCAAGTCTGGTAACAGCACAGCCTGTCTGTTAGCCAACTTTGGCCTGCGGATTGGTTTCAGGCAAGGAGAGGTATGTTCATAAACACAGAATTATAATGCTGTAATCCTCTTACAGCTTTATGTTTTCCAGATGATGTACAGATGTTCTTCCACAGACCCTGCTGATTTGAATCCCTTCTCTTCCCTCTGGCACAGAAATATCAGGAGATGAACCTCGAACCCAACGGGACCAAAGTCTCTGGAACATGCGGAGTCAACAGCAGTGAGCTGCAGCTGACCTCAAACACGATGACCGTCATGTTCACCTTCACCAATGTAAGTCCTTGACAATATGTTGTTAATATCCATTTGTGTTTATATGTTTAAGATGTAGTTCTTAAGAATGGTTCCTTAACCATTAAGACTGGAATCATGAAAAAGCTAGCCAAACTCTCTCCGCTTAGCAATTAACAACAATTCACCATTTTATGGGGAGACATGTTTTCATATAAATGAGTCAAATGAGATATAAGATTTTGATCAATGAGCTTTAGAGGTGTTGGTAGGTGCATTTATTACTTTGACAGACACAGGTCAGTGTTTACCCCTGAGCTAAGCGAAGCAGCTGCTGGCTCTCGCTCCCTATTTAACGTACATATGTGAAAGCGGTGTCTTATCCAAAATTTTGAACAATTGCTTTAAATTTTCACATGGAACAGGATGATGGGTTGGGATACACATGGCCGACAGGGATTGTGATAACAAAAAAAAAAGTTTCAGTTATTTATCAAGTTGTTTGTTAATTAGATCAGTGATTCCCAACCTTGCCCTTTCAGATCCGCTAAACTACCCATTTGTTAGATGGGAAGGTTTTGTGGAAACTTTCAATTGTATTTTCAAGCCTGGTTGAAGTTAGTCTCTCTTGTCTTTTTTTGTTGATCATCTTCACACCGACTTTGTAATCTGATTTGTGTCTTCATTTTCTTCCTAAACACAAATATGTTCTATTTTTTAAAAATTTGCAGAGCACAACAATCTCTCCATGTGTCCTGGATTTGGAGTCACTGAATTAGAAGGATAAACACTTACCACAGCATAATTACTAACATTATATAACTTCACTGAATTAGACAGGAAGCAACAAAAAGGATAAATGTAAACTACCAGTATCACTCATCACCAAAAAAAGGGTTAGGGGTTGAAAGGAAATGTTTGCATCCTGGATGTCTGGATGCTGTGATTAGCTTTGCCTTTGGTAGCTGAGATAGCTGCCAGGGCGAGGTTTTCATTTGTTCAAAATGATCAAATCCTTCTGCTTCTAAACTTGTATTTTTCTTTTAACAGGACACAGCAAAATTCCGCCTACATGCTCTCAACTTCACCACGAAGATGAGCTCTGGTAATTAGAAGAATCACATCTACACACACACACACACGCACGCACACACAAAGACCAGGCACCACTCTCAGAAGAAAGCTAATGTTTATCTTTTTGTTCGTATCTGTGCGTTTTTATTTGAAGGTGTGGAGTTCTCTGAGGGGAACACCAACCTGAGTCTGTGGGAGGCGGCTCTCGGCAGCTCCTACATGTGTAACAAGGAGCAGAACTACACCATCACCAGCCTGCTCACCCTCTACACCTTCAACCTACGAGTGCAGCCCTTTGGAGTCGCAAAGGGTGTTTTCAGTACAGGTAGGTTATTCTTTAACGTCTCTTAAAACAGCCCCTGCACTGTTGACAAGGCCATGATCAAACTGTTTCATATTAAAGAGTCCGGGGAAAGTAGCTTTGTTCTGAATCGTGACTTTACAGGATGAAATTAGCTTGATGATTTTTGTTGTGCTTGAAGCTACCAAATGGATTGTGTTGTTAGGGTTTGTGCCACTAAAAGGCTTAGGTGTCATTTGAAAATTGGTGCAGACAGGATGTTAGTTTGAAGGTCATTTTTTCATAATAACTGTACTCACATAACTGTTATTAGTAGTTATTGTAAGGCAAGTTTATTCAACTTCAAGGCATTTCAAAGTGCTTTACAGAAGACACAGAAAGCTAAAGTAAAACAAAATAGAAGGAAAAAAATAGCATAAGACAGAACAAGAGAATAGAAATGGCGGTGCAGTGCGAGATATGAATAAATAGTCCTTTGCAAAGCAGTTACTTTTCCCAATAGAAACACAAAACATTTTAAGATTGTGTTTAAGTTTATGTTTAAAACTTAATGCTTTAAATTTGTTTTTCTATTTAAATTCTAAACATTTATTTCATTTGTTAAAAGTGTAATATTTACACTTGTGACAATCATTATGTCCAATTCAATAGCATAAATAATAATGATGATCAACTTATACATATCAAGCAGAGCAGAAAAACAAGTGACATCTGGTTTTTGTTTTTTTGTGCCTGTGGCACATTGAATCAACTTCGTGAAAAGGAAGTCTGTTTTCCTGATCGGTTCAGAAACATCCAAAGTTCGTCCAACAGAATCTCCTCAGTGACCACAGTGCTGTGTGACAGCCTCAGAGTAGAGACAGTTAAATGTTGTATTTGGGCAGTTGGAAAGCTCAGCTGTCTTTAAAGATAATGTGAACTGCTGTTCTGCTGCTTCACTCTTGTCTCTCTCTTGTTGTTAATCAGAAAATCACTGTTCCACCTGTTGACTGACTCTCTTTTTATCTACAGCCCATGAATGTTCATTGGATGACACCAGCATCTTAATCCCAATCATTGTTGGCGCTGCTCTGGCTGGCTTGATTCTCATTGTAGTGATCGCTTACGTGATTGGTCGAAGAAAGACTTATGTTGGATACCAGACCCTTTAAATCATTCATGAAATATCACGGGGCTCCCAAGCCTGGTCCTTGGGTTTTAAAATCTATTGAAATCAAAATCTAAAATAGAATATCTGCTGGGAAAACTGTCAGAAAAATAGATTTTACTGTCTGTTGGTATTGACGTCATTGGTCAAGATGAGACATGAAATGCACTCAGAACATTTTTGAATTGCAGTTACCTTTTAATGATGCTACAATAAGAAAGTAAAAATCCATATAAAGATGGAGGGTTTGGTAGAATTCTCAAGGACCAAACTTGTCTACCCCCAATGTTTGTGTTCCTTTTTGTTGTTTTCTGGATGTCTTGTCTTTCATTTTTTGTTGTGTGTTTTTTTTTTGTTGTTGTTTTTTCTTTTTGTTGTTGAGCAAGTGCAAGATCCACACAACCCTTTTTTTATTTCAAGTAATCACAGTCATATGAAAAGTGAGGTTTAGAATGCAACATATGGAGATCTTGGAGTTATACAGGTACTGTAGGACGTCTACATTTACAAAAGTCCCTGGATTTTTCACACATTTTTAGCAATGTGTATGTGACAGTTTAAGTTTGTTACAGTGGGATCCTGCACTTGCTGTGCAGACATTCCCCTTTTGTTTGCATTTGTCATCATTTAATTTTTGTGCACATTTTAGTTTTTGCTTCCTTTTTTATGGTCCGACTTTTCATTCCCATAATTATTTACTTTGAGATATAAACGAATGATCATTTTTTCACAGCATTTAAACAGCAATCCCTTCACAAAAAAATCAAAGGAAGATGGCAAATCAGCTGTCTTTGCTTTGCTCCAAGAAATTCATTACCAAGGATGAAGGTCTACTCCATTTAGAAGGTTGTCAAAGGAAATATGCTTTAGCCCATGTTTGCCCCTGTAGAGCAGGAGAAACATTGGAATTATTGTCCTGATTTTGTGGCTCCAATCATATTAAGAATGTGAAATCAAAGGCTGCGATGCTTGAACATTAATTGACCCTTTTCACAGGCGGCATTTGAACATATATCAAGCAGTGAAAGCCCTGGTAGCTCTAATGGCCTTAATGCAGGCTGTGTAAAGGCCCTGGAGCTGACAGAACTACATGGAATGAAGCCATTGTTAATGTTCTTAATTACACCTGTGCTTTTCCTGCTACACCATGTCAAAATGTCTGCCTTTTAAAAGGTCTGTTACATTTGCACATGTTCCAACCAGAGAATAAATCTGACAAGAAAGGTCAACTTTTTCTTTTTTTTTTTTTTCCACCCACAATATATTTTGGCATTAGGTTTAGTAAAGGGATAGTACCATTGTGTAGATGTTCGCTTTCAGTGCAGACGTTTCTGAAACGAGGATATTTACATATAAATGCACTAAGACGATCTTTATATTTTGCATTATGTCGAGACTGTTGTCACATAATTTCACCTGTGTATAGGCCTGGGCTTGGCCTGAGCTCTGAGGGCTGCAGCTGGATCAGGGAACGTTAAAGACCCTGAAAATATTGGTGACCGATCAAGCAACAATCAGAGAAACGGGGAAACAGCGAGGCTGACGAGTAGCTTCATGTTCAGTATACTGACAGGAGAGTGGTGTCAATCCTTCTATGAAGAAAGTAAATAAGAGCAGTTCCAAAAATATGAAACCATTCCTCCACAATCTCAGCTGATCTGCCTCTTCAGCACTGTGTGGGAGCTTAAGCAAACAAAACCCACAACTGTAAATTAGAAAATCCAGATTAGTGCAGCGAAATAAATGAAATAATCTCATGTGAAATTTACAAAACTCTTGGCAGAAAATTGTATTTCCATGTAGGACACAGTCACTCACCGTAAGATGATGAATAGGGGTTTTCAGGGCCTTTTGAACTCTCGAACCAGTGTAGGTCTCAGTGAAGCAGTGTCAGGGATGTAGGCAAGCCCCAGCATGTGTATTTTTGTAATGATAGAAAAAGCCAATGTGACACACAGTAGTAGTTGTGTATTGTCGCTTTATTCTAGCAGAGTTGCTGCGTACTGTTTGACTCTGGAGCAAAGCAGACAGCAAACTCCACTGACGATGAAAAAGACTAGAAACTTGTGCATTTTTAAGTTGCTTATAAAATCAGCTTTTCCCAGGATATTGTATGTGTGTATGGATAATGGCTCTAAATCAAACATGAGATCTGACTTTTGCTTGTGACTGCTGCTGTCTTGTGTATTTCAGCTTTGTACAAACTCAGTCGCCTTAATTACAAAGATGGTTTTGCAGCACCAGTTTAAATGTTTATGGTTATGTAATATCCCTGGTTCTCAATAAATCTTCTTACCAGTTCTTCATCGCGACAGTTGTGCCTTTCTCAGTGATAACTTTCTGTTTTGTACATTCATTAACACACTAACACTGTTGAGATGCCATTTTTGTAACGTGGTGTCATTCGGCTCATTGTTTTATTCCCCGTGTCCAGTTGAGAACATTGCACACACGTGTTCAGCAAAGGGAATTTGTGCTGCAAGACCATCTTGTTTAATGATCAGTTAATGTGTGTTATGTGGATACAAATGACTGCGGACTTCATCTCCATTTTCTCACGCTGTCAGCTAGAATAAATTGGGTTTCAAATTGTGTGTCAGATTGAAGTGGAGCTTTTTTTTTTTAGTATTTTAAGATTTATGGAAATAAAAATGCAATGCTGTCCTGGACACTTGAGTAAATGTTTATTCCTTTTTCAAAATGGTTCTATGTTGCTGTGTGTGCATTAAATTCTTGATTAGCAGGCTACTTCTCTTTTCCTGCTGTCTACACATTAACCACTCCTTTTTTTTTTTTTTTTGTTTTGAAGTCTTCTTCTAAAATATTCACCTCTCTGCTCTCTTCACTCTCGTCTAGCTGAGGATTGCCAGGCCGATGGGGAGAGCTTCCTTGTTCCCATAGCTGTCGGAGTTGCCCTGCTTGTACTCATTCTTATCGTTCTTCTGGCCTATTTCATCGGGAGAAAGAGAAACATGGCCACCGGCTACGAGTCTTTCTAGTTAAATTCAGATCTTTGTGCTATACAAAGGATAGTCAGTGAATCGCTGCCTGTTTACCTCGCTGCCTTTAACTAATTGTGAAAAGTTACCAACATGTGTTGTATTAATGTTTCCATGTAGTGTTCAGTGCTGTTGACTGCCTGACTGTATTCGTAAAGGAAGAGTTCAACCTTTTGGGAAATACACTTCTTTGTTTAATCCAGATGAAAACAGCTGTGTAAAAATTAAATGTTTGAGCTTTTACCGGACTATTTATTAATGAAACGACTCAGATTGATTTTCAAAATTGTTATCGTACCAAATGGATAAAAATCTGATGATATTGAGAATAATTTGTTGTTTTTGATGCTCCAAAAAAAATGTATTCACCGTTTTACAGACACTAATTTTGGTGCTGGTTTGTATCATGTGATCCTCACGCTGGTCCTCGGGGCTTCCTGGAGATTTGAGCACTAACAAATCAAACACATAGACAGACACACACACTAGCTACAGTTGTTTGCTATAAAACTATTAATGGCTGCTATACAGGTCGTCTTACTGCAGAACTGGACACGAGAGGGTCAAATTAAATCATGGTATATCTGTCAGATCTCAGTGTTTAATTACCTGTGTTTCTGTGCACTTTTACACTTGAATTTTTGTACGGATTAAACAAACGAGATGCGACATGTTAGTGAGCTTCAGAAGTGCTGGCAGGCAGATGTTGTTACCTTTGGACGGAGCCACGCCAGCTGTTTCCTGTCCGTCACCAGTCTTTATGCTAAGATAAGCTTAACTGGCCGATGGCTGTAGCTTCATAGTGAACGAAGAGAATGATGCTCTTCTCTTTTTACTCCCAGCTAAAAATGATTTTGTGTATTTCCCAAGATATTGGCCTGTTCCTTTATTGCTCGTAGAGAATAATAAGTCATGTCCACTTGAGTGATTTCCTTTCTGTGCTTTTGGAATATTTAATAACCCTTTTCTCTAATCGACACTTATTAAATTGTTGATTCCACTTTTTGTAGGTTTCTGATCTGCTGTCTTGCCGCTTTCCCTCTCTGTCTAACCCTCTGTGTCCTTCTCCTGAGTCGTGTTTTCTGCTGACTGAACCACTAACCTGCTGTCTCTGTCTCCTCTTTCTGTCTGTCAGCTGAGGAATGCTTCCTGGACTCTGATTTGAGCTTTTTGGTGCCCATTGCAGTGGGTGTGGCGCTCAGCTTCCTAATCATCCTTGTGCTTATCTCTTACCTGATTGGCCGGAGGAAGAGTCGCACTGGCTACCAGTCTGTATAATCCAACCCAGCTGCTTTCTGCCTCTCACACCTTTCCAACCCTCACATCTCTTAAAAGCACCTTCCTGACCACTTTCCTGCCGGTCAGTGCATCAAAAGCATCTCAAATTTGAGCTTTTTTCTGTTTCCCGTGAGGCAGCGTCTCCCTAAAAATAACCTTCAGCTTATTTCTCGTACCCAGTTTAAAATTTATCCCAGCAACCACCCCACTGGTTTCCTTTGTTTTGCTTTGATGGCAATTACTGAATCAAGTACCAAGACATTTATGATCGATATTGCATCGTTTGATTATAGACTGCATGTTTTAAAAAATTAAATTTATGGCTGTGAGTAGCCGTCCACCTCCTCCCCTCAGAGCCCTCCCCCCTCCAGAGAGAGAGGCTTTTCCCTCTCGCTTTCCGTGCTGTATAATAGTATACGTGTAAATTACTCTCTTGTATAGAATGAATGACATTGATTTTTGATGACGTGAATGTATGAGCAAGCTAATAGATCCACTGTTGTCACCCGAATCCCAGACGCCACTGTTTTCATATTTCTTTAACCATCACGTAACATGTATTAACAAACTAAATGAAACTGTTGCACATAGTCACTTAATTAAAGCTTGATGAAAGGGACACTAACTTATCAAGACACTTTGGGACCAGGTTTTTTGGAAATTTTTGAGGTTATGTCTTTATGTTTCTGTCACGTTCGAAGATTTAAGACTTTTATTTTCACACTTCTCCTAAAAGATTTACATGTGAGTATTTGCTTAATTAATTATAGCTTTGTTCCTTTATCATCTTATGTCATTTTAAAAGTTTAACATATTGCAAATTTTGGCAATTGAGTAGTGAGTCTCAGACCTGGTTTAAATTTAAAACTACATCAGTCACCAGGAATCAAGTTTGGTTGAATGTAACGTCATTTGCTCTGGATTCAGCAACTAAACATTGGTTAGAGTAAGATCCCTGCACCACCCTCCATGTGATGGTGCAGGAACATGAACAGCATGAGCAGTTCAAGTACGAAGACGACGAGTAAACGTCACACCATTTCATTTATATGATCCTCAGTTTTCTTCATTCGATCACACCCCCCCCTCCCCCCCAACAGTTTCGTGCCTTTTCTGTTGTGCACCTCTGACTTGCTTGCTTGAAGCTTGTCTCCATCTGATGAAGAATGTGACATGATGAGCTTGTTCAACACAAGCGGGGAACAAATTAAATAAAGTTTCGTTCTTGTTTTGTATCACTGTCGTTCTTTGAACAGACACTGTGGAGTTGAAGAGCAGGGGCATGAGTGCGTCTTGTGACAGAACTCAACACAAAGATTAACGGTTGTAAACTTAACGTTCCCTCTGCTGAGTGAACTGCTGCGACGGCTCAAACTGTCCATTCGACTTTGGTCGACAACGTGCTTTTTATAACCTGTAAGGGTGCACAGAGGTCTGACTCTCACTCCAGCTATTACTGGAATGCAGGCAGATATGCAAGTTGACCCGGAGGTCACGGGGGTCATTGAACTAACCGAACTATTTACCTACACTAGTTTGAAGACAGACGGTTAGCTGTTGTGTTTTTGTCTTGGTTTGACTTGTTCATTGCTGTGTTTGTAAAATCAGGGTATCTACAGCTCTTTAAAAGTCTTTAAAAGCTTATAATTTTGTTTCCTCCAAAAAAAAAAGGCCATAGAAGGTATTAAAATTCTTATTTAATTTTTAATTCACAAAAGTCTTGAATATTATCTTTCACCTCCTGTATTATTACATCATGTACATCAATCAGTCCATTTACATGCATATATTTACTATTGTATATGACCATAAAAACAACAAATATTTACATTTCAAGGGGAAATATTTGCATAAAAAAAGGACTTAAAAGATTAATTATTAAAGTAGTTTCTGATTAATTTTCTTTCAGTTGTTGGGGCTGAAAAGAGAAAGAATAATTTTTTTCGAGGTCACATTAATTAATTGAATCAAATATATCATTAGAATTGTTATATAATAATAATATTATATACCGCTGGGCAGTATATAAAAAATGTGATGTAATAATAAATAATTGTAGTCCCTATTGTCCCAGCTGGTTTCCCATCATAAGTTCATACTTTGGCCAGTAGGATTGTGAAACAGGTGTTAAATTACATTCAGTGTGGTGTCAAAAAGGTCTTTAAGAGTCTTAAATTAAATCTGGTGAACCGTGCAGAAACACTGAAAAAGGCTAAATGAAATGTCTCAACACCTATGGTATGGATCGACATGAAAGTGTGCTCGGGTATCCATAGTGCCCAGGGGATGAACCCTAACGACAGACATTCATGTCCCCCTCAGAACGAACTGTTCTAACTTTGGTGATCCCTTTCATTTTTATTCAGCGTCATGACCATCAATACTTTTTGTTTCATGACCACATACCTGCATTAATGACATTCCCATCATCCTCAACTGTAGTTTGTCTTTACTGCTAATTAGCACAGCCGCTAGCTCGGCTGTAGTCGTCTGTCACACCAAATAAGGACATGCAGTATTTCAAGTTATATCAACTGTGCATTTACAAAATATATTTTCTCTTTATTAGGCGAGGTCTGTTAGACTCTAATACATAAACTGTTATAAAACAGAAACACACTTGTTTGAGAGGGGTTGTGCTCTATAAAAGACTTCTGTCAACACCAGTGATAAATTTAGAGCATATGAAAATGCATTGTATTTCACCATGTTTTACAGAAAACTGAAGTAATGTGTAACTTTCTGAAACGTCATCAGTTAAAAAGTTCTCATAAGATCGGTAAGAGTCAGTGTTTGACTGAGAATTACAGAGTTGAGATGTGTTGAAAGCTTTTTAAGAAAATATGTAATACACAATTGATGAAGACTATCAGCCCCATGTGGAAGAAAACTTACAGTACATACCAGAACATTGTATTTATTATAAGAACTATAATAGGAATAAATACAACATTGATACCAAGTTTAGTAGCACTGTTCAGGCAGGATTAATACTACCACAAAATAGTTATACTTAAAACGGTACAGACCTTTCACAAACTATTTCACAGTACAGTATGTCCTTTATTGATCAGTCTTGTGTAGTATTTCATTTTCAAAAGCAAATGTTTTTACAAAAGAAGGCAAGAAGTGGCTTGTGATACTTGTTCATAAATTCTGCTCTATTCAACAAAAATATACTAATAGTGTATTTGCAGTCATTTATTATGTCTTTTTTTTACTGTGTAAGTACAGTACAAGTCCTGCTTTCAGTGTTTGCATGATACTTCTTTGAATTCTTACAATATACATGTTTGAAAAATATAATGCAAAACAAATTAGTACACTTTGTCACACAAAATGTGCACACAAAACCATAATCTAACCTGACAAAACAATATTTCTAATCGCCT